GGTCCAATCAACATCAGTCTGGTTTGGTCAATTCGATGGTTCGACGTTGGTCTGGGCCGGTTCGGCTGAACCGATCGAGAGTCAAAGGGAGAACAGGTTACCAGGTTACCAGGTCGGGTACACGATCCCAGGTCAGGTTACTGGTTGATGCGCAGATTCTCTCGATTAAAACAATGTCATTTTGCTTGTTGCCTAAACGGCGTCATTTTAAAGACCTATTTAAAGGCCAAATCAACATTTTTTTTTTTAGTTTTCTTCTTTTTCTTTTTCTTTCTCTTTCTTCCTCTCAGACACTCTCATTCTCTCTCTAAAACCTAGAATCTGATGATTGCTGTCCTGTGTCGACTGCTGTCGATGGTTGTTAGCTACTGTTTGTCAGTCATAAAAAAATCTCAAAATTCACTAAATGAATGTTCCTAGCCTCCTAAGTTCAAATCTGAGCTTGGTTTTACGAAAAAAAGCTTTGAACAACAAGGATTTGGCCTGAAAAGTTTGGCCAAATTGATTTTTCTTATTTTTGTGAATTTTTTTTTATCGATGCTGTGGTTCCCATTCCAGGGACTGTTTGTTTTGCTTGTGTTTTGATTCCTCTTTTTTTTTTTCACATAAAGCCTTTTTTTTTTTTACTTTGGTAATTTTTTTTTTATCTCTCTTTTTTTTTTTGCATACCTTCTCCTCTCTTTCTTGCTGGTCTCATCGCTTTATTTATAGAGCAAAAGAAAGACTAAAATCTTTAAAAATTTGAGATTTTGATAGCTTAAAATTAGGACGGTCATTGATTGTCAGAACGGTTGCAGGTGATTGTCAAAGTTACTGGCAGCTACAAGCGGCCAACATAAAAGCTGTCAAAAAAGAAAGAAAAAGAAAAAAATATAGAATATATATATATATATATATATATATATATATAAATGGTGTCTACACTTATCACCGTAAAATTAATTTACCGAATTCTGCCGACCAATCCAATCCAAATTCGAGGTGCTTATTAAAGACAACCCTTAAAAAAAAAACATGAAATCATACTCAGAATAGAAATCAGAAATAAATGTATGAGAAAAACAAAATGCATATCCAAAAGGATATCGATCCAATACGATATGCCCCTTGCTTGCTGGGGAAGTTAATATCTTTAGCCTCGTAAGTAGCAAATTTTTGTAGCAATTAGAAACAGATGTGCCTATAAGAGGGCTTTAAAAACAAATTTCAATTGTCACTTTTTCACCGAAATAAGAAAAACAACAAGCAAACATAAATAAAGCACGTGGAACTTGCAATTTAGGTTATGCGGCCTTATAGCAACATAAACCAAAGAACAAATCTTATAGAGTTGTTTAACCTCAGAAGGAAGACATGAACCGACTTCTCCAGTCTTCCCGACTGGATGGTTCACCTTTCCCTACATGCTATTTCCATGCAGGGTCATTTCATGTCGGCACATGTAGGTAATTCATGAAAAAAATTCTTCTATAAAGTATCAAAGTACTTTTTTTATAATAAAAAATTGATACATAGTCAAATTAAGTATTATACTCATATATTATAATTATTAAAATACTCATTATTTATAATTATTTATTAAAATAACTTCATATTATAATTACAAAAATACATTCATCTCATAATTGATCAAAATTTTATAATACTTCTCTTATTATAATTACAAAAATACATTTATAAATGCTTAATAGAAAGTTGGCATGTGACATTTTATTTTAAAGTTAATAAAATATATTAAAACAATCATTTTGATAATTAGTATAATAACCTTTTGTTTATTTGATATGATATAAACATGTAATCAAATTTACTATAATGTCTTTTTATCATAGTTACAATTTTTTTTTTATAATTAACTAAAATTATTAAAATACTCTCTTACAATAATTATAAAAAATACTTCTTCTATTATAATTGACTAAAATTATTACAATGCTCTTTCATCTAAAATTACAAAAATTATTCCTATCATAATTGGAAAAAAATTACTATAATATCTCTCATATTATAATTATAGAAATATTTTTATTAGTACTTTATAAAAAGTTGATATGTGGCATTTTAATTCAAAATTATTATAATATCTCTATTAAATTATATATTAAATTTTAACATAACATAAAACTAATCACATATTAAATTATTAAAATATTTTTGCTGTTGCTTTTTAAAAATTTGACAAGTGACGTTTTAAATATTATTATAACATCCTTATTAAATTATATTATGAAATTTTAAGCTAACATAAAATTAACTATATATTAAATTACTAAAATCCCTTGCTATTACTTTATAAAAAGTTGACATATGAAATTTTGTTTAAAATTTACTATAATACCCTTATTAAATTATTTATTAAATGTTAAATAACATATATTAAAATAATTCCCATGAAAATTACTATAATGCTCATTTATTTATTTGATATAATATTGACACATATCTAAATTTATTATAATATATTTTTATCATAATTACGAAAATACTCATCTTCTCATAATTACTTAAAATTATTATAATGTCCTCCTACCATAATTGTACAAATGTCCCTCCTAATATAATTGAAATGAAATTACAATAGCATCATTTTTTTACTATAATTACAAAAATACCCATTATACCATAATTAATTAAAATTACTGTAACACCTCTCATACCATACTTGTAAAAATATCTCTTTTATCATATAATTGGTCAGAATTACTATAATGTTTCTTATACCATAATTATATAAATGTCTTTATGAGTACTTCACAAGAAGTTGGCATATGGTATTTTATTTCAAAATTACTATAATGCTCTAATTAAAATTATGTATTAAATTTTAATATAATATAAATTAATCACATATTAAATTATTAAAATATCCTTGCCATTGCTTTATAGAATTTTACATGTGACATTTTATTAAAAATAATTCAAAACTAAATGATTAAGTGAGTTAAATAATTATAATTTCTATTAAAATAAAAAATTAAATATTTTATATTTTAAAATAAAAAATATTTAATCTTCAACCTAATGGACCCGCACACTAGTAGGCAAATATTGGAGACAAACAAATGAACATATTTGCTAACAATGAATCCACTAGTTGAGGGGAAAAGAGGAGGAAGCCTATAGACAATCTTAATTAAATAATTATTTTCTTCTATGAAAATGATAACATCAAACTACAAGTGAAAAGTAATTTTGATTCCAACCTCCTTTATGAAAGTTATTATAGAATGGTTCAAACATGAAAGAAATTAATATATTCAAGTGTCTAATTCTTAAGAAGTAAAAATATGATGTTAAGGGCGCACTTTCTACATCAATATAATGTATATAAAAAATTTTTTTCGAAATATTTCTCTTAAAGATCGATCAATGGATAAAAAAAAAAATTGATTCTTGTATAAAAATCTATTTCATTTTTTTTTCCTTTTTCATGTAAGTGCTTCTTATCTCTATTTCATTTTTTTTCTTTTTCATGTAAGTGCTTCTTATGTTTTCTAAATTATGACTTCATGCGCATAGATATTTTCCTGTTCTCTTTCTTGCCACATTTGGACCTCTTTGTTTTTGGGTGGGCGAAGTGTTTACTATCGTCATAGGTTTGGCTTTTCTCATCTCTTTTTGCTTCTTTCTTTTCTTCTGCACTTTCCACTTTTCCCAGCTAGCCGTGCTTGTCATTATCAAATATCAATAGATGAAGCTACTGTATGTTTGAAACCCAATATGCCCTTTTTCTCTTTCAATAGTCATGAATACTACTAATTGCAAAACAAAGAAATTTTATTTGTCTAAATTTCTTTGTCAGAATTCATGAAAACAACAGCAACGTAAGTAGAACTTTGGCAAATTTAGTGGAATTCAAGGACTCAGATTGGAACTAAAGTTATTGACTAAAAATCCATCTGAGAATCTGATTGAAAGACTCTCGCCACATTGGAAGGTACAATATTTTATGACTGGATCGTTTCCATTACTGGTATTTCAAGGTTAAAAATATTTACTTAATTGGTCTAGGGTTACTTTATATGTTTCAAGCAAAGAATTTAGCGTATATTATGTATGTTCTTATATATGGTTAGATTTCTTTCCTTTGTTATCTGGAATAAAGAAGGAAAATGTGTTAATTAGGAAACATGGGCTAGCATATAACAATTAGCCTCCTCCATATTGGGATGGTTAACATTACATGTATAAAAGGAAATAAATAGAAAAAGAGGAAGGGTTTGATGATAATTGATAACTGAATAACTGATCAGGTTTTGAGGCAAGACATCCTTTAGAAAGAGAATGGGGAAGGAGGAAAGGTTAGCATGGGCTTAGTCCACTTGAATTGCAATGAATCAAGACTAAAGCCATGTAATTAATCCGTCAGGACTTTTTGGGTGTAGTTCTTTTGTTTTCCGGCCATCAGGGTTTAGTTTATTTGGTTAGCCCCAAACTTTTCTAAATATGGGTGCCAGTAGATTTTGGACTCCTTGTTAATCTTAGCCCAAATGGAAGCCAAGTTTGTGCCATTGCAAATTGAATAGCTTGAATATCAAATCCTTCAAATCACCATCATATTATGAAAATCAAACCTAGTTTTTTTTTTTTTTAGGAGAAAGGTTAGTTAAAAATAAAATGCATTGGAATTTAGAATTAACATTACTTTGTGGCTGAAACATTGTGTCAACGGTACTTGCACTTTACATTTAACTGAAGATATTTCAACCAGGAATCCTTTCTCCTTTATTCACCCCAAGTATTTCCCAAGAAACAGAAGGAAAATTTAACTTTGCCAAGTCCTTCAAAGTTTCATGACATGGATACACCACTCATTACCATTCGTTCGTATTAGAATGCTAAAATTCAGTACTTTCCATGTGTTTGAAGAAATAAGATTTATTGATGGCCCAAAAAAAAAAAAACGAAATAAGATTTATTGGCTACCAAGACAAAAGTTCAAATCATTAACTTCCACACTACAAATTGGAACTTGTAATAAAAGCATTTCTCTTACCCAGTTCCACCTGAAGTCTGAAAATTGCACAGAAAATCAGTGTGGTGTGTGTCCTATATATAATGTGCAACCATTTGCAAACAGTGAGATCAGATCCCTCCCTCAAGATACTGACACTTCTATTATTCCACAAAAGGTGAACCTCTAAGATTGCATTTGAGATACCAAAACACTCAATTCTACCATACAGCATTATCCTGATCAGTGAATTGCGGCCAGCATGGGATATTCCTTTCTCGCTCCTCTATATCTTTAATCATTGGTAAAAGAATTTATGACATCACCGGACAACAAATGTGATATTTTACCTACAAATCACTTTTTGGCCATTAAGGACAATTCTATTAAAAATAATCCATTATATTTATATGTGCTTTTTAAAGATACTCCAGTTGCATTAATTTCTCATTCCACTAAACATAACATTTGCTGATAAAATCTTTTCGGTTCAGATATCAATCTGCGGCTTTTTGGAATTTGTAGCAAAAAGCAAGTAAATAATTAACACAAGAAAAGAGAGAAATGGAGAAGTATATATCATTAATTATAGTTATAGTACTATCAGCGATTTAGTTACAGAACTTGTTTTTACTAACAAAAAAACCCCAAGAACCTTAAATCACTCACAAATCTTTGTCTTTGACAATTTCCCTCACCTCAGCTTGTTTCCCATATTTTCTTCTGCTCTGAACATAAAACTTCAAAAACAGTAACAAAATAACCCCATTCAAAATCGAGTTCAAAACCCAGGCTCCAATCCCGTTGCAACCACCTTTCATGAAATGCAACATCAAAACCCCGACATGGCAAACCAGGTTGCAGCCTAGCAACAGGATTTGGCAATTCAAAACGAATGGAAAGCAAGCGCTTGGTAACCCTATTCCCGTCCAGAATCTATATCCATAAACCGCTGAGTAAACCAGGGTCGTAAACAGGATCGCCAAAACCTGAAACGACTGTGAAAACTCTAGCCACAGAAATGACATGATCGTCAGTATGGAGTTGTTGAAAAGATGGAAAAAGTTTAATTTTCGGGTTCGGAAGATTGTGAAGATTGTACGGAACATGTGGAGGAAGCGAGAGAGGTAAAAGACGTAGGACCAGAAGAAAACACGGCCCGAAGGACGGGTTCCGAGAGGGAAACAGAGGAGCCATTGGAACGGGGTTTTGGAACGGCGCCAGAACCATCGGGTTTCCTTGATTTCAGCGGCGGCGGAGAGGAGGATTCCAGCGAAGATGACGGCGGAGACGACAGACATGATGAGGCTGTGGAGGGCGGGGATTGGACCGAGCGGAACGGGCCTGCCACGTTTGACGAGGAGGGACAAAAAGAGGTGGAGGAGGGAAGAGAGGGTGAGGTAAAGGGCGATCGAGGTGACTAGGAATGACCAGGTGGAGCCCCATGATTGGGTATGACTCCAACGGAAGGTGATGATGGAAGGGTGTTGGGAGAGGTAGTAGGTGACAACGGCGGTCATAACGGCGGCTGATCGGAGGAGCAGGAGGTTGGGGATTGAGCTTGTCTGTCTATTTCACATGTTTTTGTGAATTAACAAAAAAAGTGATGGTTTTTTAAGGTAAAATAATGGTGGGGGCTGAGGTTTTAAGGGGTATTAATTATTAAATTGGGATGGGGGAACCTCTGGTTGCCATGAAGTTTGAGGTGTTAGGAGACTGAGTTTGTTGTCGTATGAGGTGGTCGAAATCGATTCGATGGGCGTGTGATTTGTCGATTTTACATGCGTGAATATTAACCTACTTTCTTTTTTCTTGGTCAAACAGTAACTAATTTCACTATTATAGAATATTTAGTAAAGTAACATATATATATATATATATCTATATTAACTCCAAGAATAGTCAGATTATTAAAATTAGAATATGCAACACCCATTATTTGAGTGAAAGATAAAAAATTTAAAAATAAATAAAAGAAAGAAAGCTACGTAAATTAATGGTTAATTTTAATAAATATTTTTAAGATGGTTAAAAAAAATTGAAAGCTTGAAGATTTTCTGATGTTCACACTTAGTCTCATTTGAGACCACAAACAAAATTAACAGCAAAAAAAATATATATATATATATTTCTCTAATTTGTTTATAAACTAGTCGGCTAGAAAGTAGAAAATAATTATGATTTGGATTTCTTACTTTGCTTAATTATTTTAACAGCCAACCCCTTGAAAAAAAGCTTATAGTTGGTTCATGCATGGCATCATTGTAAAAAAAGACATACTATATGATTAGATTAGTTATCCCTGTGTTTAATGCCTTCATCATATATATATATTATTTGACCCATTTCATCAGCTATATATTTGGATATTCTTTCAAGCCATTAAGGTCAAACTTATCATTGTATTACGGTTCCACATCCATTTTTTTTTTCATTGTACTTCAATTTTATTAAAATTTTTTATTTTACTTTAAAATTTTGTTGCACTTTTTACATAAAATACTGAAATTGATGAAAATTTATTAATAATTAATAAAATATTCCGTAAAATATTTTAATTTGGTTACTTTTAATTTGTTTAAAAATTAACATAAATTAGAAGTTAGATGACAAATTTTACAATTTGCATTAACAAAATATTTCGTCAAATATTTTATTTTTTTTTATTTTCTAAAATATTAATAAAATTAAAAGTACAATGACAAAATTCAATGAAATTTTAATATTTAGTTCTTCAATTAGTATTTAGTATCTCAAAATACTATCAAAGGAACTCAACGAATTCGTGCCGACGATCTTTCAGTGCAATTTATCGCTTGCTATTCAATTTCGATATATCCTCCAAAACTGCTTTTCGTTTCAATTTTTGTTAGTGAATTGCAAGTTTGTTGGGACATGTGGCATTATTGGAACCGTAAAATTTAGGTATATCTTTAATTTTTTTTTAATTTTCAAATTAAGGTTTTTTTTTTTTTGCATTAAAAATATCACATCACAATCCTGGTAATAATCACTATATATAAATATACAGTTTTCCGGAAAATTAGAAAATGATCAATGCTTATGCGTAATGCTTATATCCTATTCAAGAGTGCTTTTGTTTTGATATATATTAGCTTTTTCCTTTTTAGCTTTTTTCTTTTTCAAGTTTGCAAGCAATTTCCTTTTAACAATATTTGAAAGCTTATAAAATAAATGGGGGCCGTCTTCCGACTTGCAGCTATCATTTTGTAATTTTTTTTTGATAAATAATTATTTATTCATTTGCAAAAGCTACAATTAATTAATTATTTTTTCACGTATTTAATTATTTATGAATTTATTATATTTATGATCTAATTAATTATAAATAAATATGCTTAATGATTAATATAATTTAAGTTTAACATATTTATATTAATTAGTATAAATACATATATATCAAACAAATGCCTTAAATCTGTAACAACGTGCGAAATATGATCTAATATATATAGTTATGGTGTTACTCAATGATTGGTGTCCTATGAATTGAGTGGAAACATTAATATATAGTGAGAGGTGGAATGACGATCAGGTTGGAGCAAGTTAAATATGATTGGTTTTTTCATTGAATCTAAAGAAAAATGTTTTCCAAAATGTAGAAGAAAAGAACACCATTTGTTGAATGTGATCATTGCGAAAAACATGTACAAATCCAAGTTTCAATAACTCTTGTTGAGGAAACATATGTCAGAATTAAGATCGTTCAAATTTCATTAAAAAAGGGCTGAAAAAAGTTGGAATTTGAATGGTTTTGACGGCAATGTTGGGGCTGTTGTTTGTGGACTATATAAAGGGAAAAACTTTATAAAAAAGCAAAATTATTTTACAATTATAATTGCGTTTTCTCAACGGGGTTTTCCGGTTTTGAAAAAAAAAAGTACATTTGTTGGCAAAATTTTTGAAAAATATTGGAAAATAAGTATAAGTGAATTTGTTACTCCCTTGACTAATAGGACTGAAATTTGTTTCGAGAATGTTAAAAAAAATAATTTTTTATAAATTCATTAAATTCAACATAAATTAATTTATTTTAATAAATTTTTTAAAAAATATATTAGATAAAATAAAAAAAACCTTAGTCATTAAAAAAAATTGGAAAGTAATGCCTTTGGTTTTAGTACTCATAAGTCTCAACGCCCAAATTTCCAACGACCGGTAGCACGTGGAATTAATGCCCTGATGTGTACGTTTAGAAGCTTCTTCTCTCATTCGGCAAAACCTTAAGTTTATAGTATTTGATACAGTTAGTAAAGTAAGGCAGGATCCATCTTCTTGTCAGAAATAAACAGAAGCTAATTAAAACCTTTTTGTTGAACCTGGGTTAAGTTGCAATTAAAATTTTTTAATCTTTTTGAATTATAATTAAAAAGTCGATTTGAAATTTTTAATTTTAGAATTGACTCTAATATTATCGAGACGATTTATTGGTCAAGCTCTAATTAAAATTTAAGCAAAATCCAACCAACGGATTGTAATAATTATGTGGTGATTAATGAGACTAATAAAACATAACAAAGACAGATCAGTAAGAAAGTTGGTAGGTTAGACCTATGCGTATGAAGTCAATCATAGTTTTCTTCAAAGTTTTCTGCTTCACCTACCCAGAATAAGACAATAAGAATTAAACAAGAAAAATAATTTATTAATAAAATAGCTTGTATTATATTATTAAAATTTTTTTTTTTTAAATATTCGTATTCAATACATATCGCACAAATATAAAATATATATGAAGAAAATTTTAAAAGAATTAAACTTATTCCCATTCAAACTTGTATATGACACTAATCATGAGTTAACAATAAATAAATTGTAGAATACCATAACCTAAGGAACGTCGGCATCGAACGCGCTTGTCAATCATGACTAAGTTGTAGAAAAGGGCAAAGAGCAGTTATTGTGAAGTTCATAAGACAGAATGGAAGTAAATAGAATTAAACAGCACTGAATTTCTGCTGAGTGCATGGAAGTTTTACCTATGCAAAAAAGTACTATTTTGTGCCAACTGACCTAACACTCAAAGCCAATCCAAAAAAAAGTTGTTTCCGAAATTCAGGGTCATGCAAAAGGAACATGTTTCATTTAAAGCAAATTAATCAAACCTTCCAAATCTGGCTACCTTTTTTTTTTTTTAAGAAAAATTATTTTAATAAAAAATAGAGAAAGAAAGTATAAATATTAAAATTTAAATCTCAAATTTATTAAACATAACGACATGAATCATTGGAATAAATTTTGAGTTAGAAACCTTTCTTTAATAATATATATATATATATATATATATATATATATATATATCTAGTTATGCCATCGCCTGGACGAGTTCAACAAAAGAAGTTGTTTTTCGTTGCGTTATGACGTGGGCTAACCTGTGACCCAAAATTTGTCTCATTGGATTACATATAACAATGAGCTTTAAAAGCCCTGTAGAATCCATTAAACTGACTAACGTCGAACGATCTTGTCCAGCGACTCCAGTCCACAGAAAATGAAACCTTGTATTAAGCAAAAAGAAAAAAAAAAAGGTTAAAATAATAAAAAAAAACCCTTTGAATTTTATAATTTTCTTTAGATAAGTTTTTATATTTTTTATTATATTTATATAAATGATTAATCTTTAATTTACATTTAAATAAATCTTTAATCTTTAATTTGTACCTAAATAAATTCTTAACATAAATAAGATTTTCATTTGAAATAAAAACTTATTTAAACACAAATTAAAGTATAAAAATTTATTTTGATACAATAAAAATATAAAAACTTTATTTAAGAAAAATGAAATAGTTCAAAAGCTTTTTAATATTTTAACCAAAGAAAAGGATATTTTCCCTTTAATTATTCATTTTAATTGATTTTTTTTCACCAATGAAAAGAATATCTATTTTTTTTTTCATAGATTAGTCAATAGCATCATGGATTACAATGCTTTCTATATTAACTGGATATTCATTCAACCAGTGTCCGTTTGTCATACTTTCCACTGCTATTAATTCTTGCTAGTTTATGCGCTGCCTGGTTTGCTTCACTCTGGACATGTCTGCATTGCCAAAGAAGAAAGCTTGCTAGATCCATCTGTACTTCCTCCATCTGGTTCTCAATCAACGCCGGTATACCATCGGGTCCTAAGGCCTTTGTTGGATGTATTTGTTTCACTGCCATGTAGATTTCCTCTACAGTGAACTCGGATACTAGACACCCGTTCATCTCATTTGTTACAGAAGGTATAATTGTCTCGATAGCATCATTCACATGCGCTGCACTTGTGTTTTAAATAGTTTTCTAAAGTATCCCATTGCCTGGTTGGAAATCTATCCTTCTTCCTCAAGGTATGCTACATCATCGTCCTCCACCCCATATATTTTTTTGGTGCGTTTCCTTTCTGTCGCCTGTGTGTGAAAAAACTATGTTCCTATCGCCTTTTCAGAACCAATTTGTTCTTGCATACTACTTCCAGTAGACTTCCTCTTGTTTTAATAATCAGTTCAACCGGTCCTTCAATTTCTCTTCCTCTGCCAACGTGTCCCCGTTTGTGCTTCTTTGTTGAATTTTGCCTAAGTCATCATGCAGGTTTTTGATTTTTGTACTGATTCCATGAAATCTCATCTTGCTCCAGTCTTTGAGTTTATCCATTACCACTTCTATTTTCTCCTTTAGTTTCTTGTACCCCACATCTGACCAGCTTTCTTTTATTATTACCATACATTATGGTTCACATGTTTACATTT